CTGGTCTATTAAAAAACAAGTGGAAAAAAGGCTGGTAAGTTTTTTCAAATAAGTGGGACAATAAGTCCCAAGTATGGGAAAGTACTGAGGTTTTATGTTTGGTAGGGGAGAAAATTACTCAAGCAGTTACTACCTCTGAAATTTCTTTTGATGGATTTGTTCACAGATACATATACACGTTTGGATACATCATATTCAACCTTGAGGATCTTAATTTTATAACCTTTTATAAGTAGGGAGCTTTAGGACTTCATTATATACCCAAATGTCTGCTAATGTTGTGTATACAAAATATAGAGACTATGTATTCATTTGCGAGCTTTGAGGTGAAGTGGAATTATCATCAATAGTTCTTTTTTATTGGTTGTACACTTACATATGAGAATATTGTCAATAAGAACATTTTTGTAACAATGAGATATAGTTTTTAAGGACGCTTCTTAAAAAAACTAAACATGGAACTGAATAATTGGACAGAATGGAGAACATTTTAAAGAAAAATACCAGCATAAAGAAGTTTCCGGATGCAATGGAATTGTTGTGCCATACAAGCTACATACAGGGGAGTTCCCAAATGAGGAATGTCTTGGTCAACATCTACGCCCCAGGATATCAGTATTTCTAGACATTCATGGTTACCTGCCAACACAAAGGAGGGATGAGTTGATGTTTACTTGATAATGCCCATCCCTCACCACCACTCCTCCCCACACACTTCTCTCCTGCAATGTTATTCACTGAAAGGTAAATGGAGCACTGCATGCTGCTGAAGGGACTTTCTCCCCTTGTCATTAATCTCGTAACTACGTTACCTTTACTGGCAGCCTCGTGTGTGGGAGAAGGAAGACATGACTCCAGCTGGGCTTTGGCGCCATATTCCAGAAGAAGTTCCGTGCAACTCGAACTGCCTTGTGAGCATGCGTTGAATAATGGCGTCACACCATCTATTGTGATTGCGTTTACCTAGGCCAAACCAAAAAACTGGGAGTGAAATTTACAGAATCCTATGTGATTAACTGACTCGCTTACACGTTAAAAATGTACAATCTGTTAAAAATAATTGAGAAAATGTGTGTAGTAAATATGACAGAGTATATTCATCTCACATATCAATAAGGAAAACTTTTAAGACTTCCAGAGATAAACAGAAATAGGATAGGGTAAAATATTGTTTTACCAGCTGCATGTTCGCTAGTGTGACTCACCTAAATTGACATGCATGAACATGCAACTGGTAAAAATCATGAAAATCAATTATTAGGAAAAAAGTGAAGAAGAAAAATGCAATGGTGATGAATGTCGTGATGAAGCCATTTAGCTGGTGCTGGTTTAAATTGGTAAAATTGGTAATTTTATCCATGGTAATTTATCTAAAGAAAAACGAGGAATCACCCAACAGGCGGACAAAGCTTATAGGCATAACGGTGTTCATCTATTGCTATTTAGAGTAGTGAGAATTGGAAATAACCTAAAGAACATTGTGTATGATTATGCAGCATAAGACCCATTTTTGCACTGATTGCAAACCCTTCTCAGAGTGCAATGATTAGGCTGAGGCAATTCAAGAGTTTTATTTTTATTCTGCTATTTTTGAAAACTACCGAGAAAGAGAGAGGAAGGGAGAGAGGAAGGGAGGGGAAGAGAGAGAGAGAAAGAAAAGAGAATTTTGTTTGGTTCTTAGTAGATTTAAAATTGTTAATGTTTTGAAAAGGTACTTACATTAGCTCCAGCTTCCAGAAGGGTCCGAGCACATGCCACATGATCTCCGAGGCAGGCTTCGTGCAATGGGGTGATATGGTCTATGGTTACAGCATTTACGTTATAGCCCTAAATGTGACATCAATAATTTTGAAAGGTGAAGAAGTTGTATAAAATCATCTGTCTAAAAAGTGATTAAAAACCAAAGTAAATCCATTGCCATCGAGTCAATTCCAACTCACAGCAACCCTATGGGACAGAGTAGAACGCCCTGTAGAGTTTCCAAGGAGCACCTGGTGGATTGGAACTGCCAACCTTTTGGTTAGCAGCCGTAGCTCTTAACCACTATGCCACGAGGACTCCAAAATGTCATTAGAAAGTGATACATTTTAAAGAACAAAGAATCTCAGGCAAATGAGTTTAAGCAGAGATTGCCGATTCAGATACCATAGGGTCAACCAGGTGTCAGGACTACTTAGCCCTATCACTGTAGCACCATCATACCTAGATCTGATACTGCCTGAAGTATATCGTTTAATAGATTCTGACATGTTTTCATTAAATTTTGTTTTCTTAAATGCTTTTGCCCTGTATGCGTTGCTTTTGGTTGTTGCTGCTGTTTTGATTTTTCTTTTGCAGGATAATGACTATCTACAGGCTGAATCACTTGTACTGACTGGGTCTAGTTCCAGGGGGTACAAATGGATAACATGTTTGGCTGCTGATAAGTTGGAGGTTCCAGACTACCCAGAGGCACCTCGAAAGAAAGGCCTGACAATCTATTTCCCCAAAAAAACAGCCCTTGAAAATTCTTTTGAGCACAGTTCTACTCTGACACATATGGGTTCACCATGAGTTGGAATCCGCTCAATGGCAACTAGTGCTGGCTGTTGGTGTTGGGTGTCATGGAGTCAATTCTCACTCATAACAACCTCATGTCACAGAGTAGAGCTTCCGCACAGGGTTTTCTTGGCTGTGATCTTCATAGAAGCAGATCACTCGGTCTTTCTCTCGCAGAGCCACTGGGTGGGTTTGAACTGCCAACCTTTAGGTTAGCAGTGGAGCGTTTAAACGTTTGCACCACCAGGGCTCCTTTTACTAGTACTGATACCCGTAAAAACCAAACCTCTTGCTGTGGCGTCAGTTCCGACTCTTGGTGACCCTGTAGGACAGAATAGAACTGCCCCATAGGGTTTCCAAGGAGCGGCTGGAAGATTTAAACTGCTGGCCTTTTGGTTAGCAGCCAAATGCTTAACCACTGCGCCACCAGGGCCAGGTCAGCCCAGCCTGAGGAAAAAAAACCTCAAAAGTAGTGAGCTGCTTTGTGAATTTTTGTCACTAAATAGACATGACTAGGTTATGTGCTTGTGGCTAAGCGTTCTGACTGTGGGTCATTTAGGTGTGCAGCCTGGCGCCCCTATGCAATAACTGTGCTTTATTTGAACACGTAACTTACCCTCTAAGTCTAAGGATTATCATGAGGATTAAATGAGATGGTATCTGTAAAACAATTATTATCAAAATACCTGGCATATAGAAAATGCTCATATTGCTGCTATATTATTATTCTATCAAAACTAAGTAAACACTTTTAAAAATTTTATTCCAGTTAAACTAATGATATCCAAGTAAAGTAAGTGTTGTTAGGATCTAGATTCTTTGCCATCTTGCTATCTTTGGTAATCCATTGCCTCCTGGCAATCATATTTATGGGCAAATCCCCATAGTACAGGTTCAATAATCTTATAATACCAGAATGGACATGAAGAATCTTAAAAGCAAGAAAACAGATAATCACTCCACATCTTTGCCACTAGCAAGTGGTAATTTTTAAGTTTCCTTAAGTTATCTTTTCAAACATTTCAGGTTGGCTATCAGCAGTCAGGAGCCCTGGTTAGCACTGCTCACCAAAAGATTGACAGTTCGAATCCACCAGCCGCTCCTTGGAAACCCTTTGCGGCGGTTCTAACCTGTCCTATAAGGTGGCTATGAGTCGCAATCGACTTGAAGGCAATGGGTTTTTTGACGGGTTAGCAGCAGTCAAACGTGGTGACTAATTCCACTCTTCTGAGTACTCCATGACAGAGCCGCTGAGCAGGCTGACGTTCCCTTCTGCCTTGGGCTTGGGGCAGCCTCAAACTCTCATTGGCTAGCCTGTCAGTGGATGTGAGATACGGCCTGACGCTGCTCTCGTCTTAGAGAACTGCATGACCCTTGAGAAGGGATGACCCTTTAAAAATCACTGACCTTTTTACAGGTTTGTTTTTTTTTTTTTTTCTCCATCAAGTGCTGAGCAAAGCAAAACCAGTCACATGGTTATCACAGACCTGGAGGCCCTAAAGGAGCATCTCCTTCTATCTCTTCATTTGACAGGTGAGAAAGTAGAGGCTCACATATGTGCTGGTTCTCCTCAAGTGCCCGCCTAGAATCTAGGACTCCTGAGCCCCATGGCTGTGCTGTTTCCGCTGGGCACCCTAGCTCCTTTCCTCAGAGTCATCGGAGAAAATTCCTTTCTCCTTTCCCCCGGGAAGTGCGAGGCCGTGGCTTCCAAACTTGGTTGTACATTTAAGTTGCACTAAAAGCCTACAGAGAACGCACAGGCCCATTTTCTCATTCAAATTAGGAATCTGTGTTTTTCACTTTTCCTCAGGTGATTCTGCTGAGCAGGCAGAGGTAGAAATGATTGCTACATAGCTTTGATGGTCAAGTCCCCAGAGCATATTACAGATTACTATGATGCCAAAAAAAAAAAAAATTGTCTAGGGATCTGGCCTGATGACCTCTTTTTGAATGTTTTACAACTGAGTTAAATCTGCATGTAGCTAGCTAGTGCACACATCGTAGTGTTAAGCATATTTAGAATATTAACTAATACATAGATTTAAGTACTACTCGAATACATCTATCAATGAGTAAATATACTGTATCAGAAATTTGATAATACTAAGACATAAGATTCCAGTAAAATATTTATGAAGAAGTTTCAAAGATAAATGAACGATTGACTGATATGAGTTAAAATTAAAAGGCAGTAGTAAAATTTACTAAGTGGTTTTATTAGATTTGAATCAATTTGTTTAAGCACTTGCTGCTATATGCTCGTGAGGGAGGGGTACGCTTTAAGCTCTATGCACTATTTTACCTGTGATAACAGTGTTCTCAGAGCAAGAAGACGACCTTGACTTGCTGCTTCATGAAGTGGCGATCTATCTGCCCAGGAACCTGTCAAAAGAGAAGAAAGAAAAAAATCTGTGAACTAAAGGAAACGCTAATAGACACCATCAACTCCAGTGTGATACAAATTGTTCAGACTCAGTGTTCCCTAAGATGACCAAGATACTTGCAAGGAAATTTGATTCTTATTTGAATGATCCAGAAACCAATGTTCCTAACCAAGCTACACACTGCCTTCTTTGTTTTGTCTTTCAGATTCTGCAGGGAAAGTAATATCTGCCTCAGAGGTCGTTCCTGACACAATGATGATACCTGTTTTATAGCAGAATATTTGGTGATGAGAACACTGTAAACTGTGATGGTCAACTCCTGGCAATTTGGGTCCGGAAGCACTGCGACTTTTGATTATCTGGTTTTACCAATGTTAGAGTACACTCTGGATTATATTGTGTTAAAGTTTATAAAGAGCATCTTATAGAAATGTAAACTCTCCGCTAAAATCCACTGATTCAAGTATGTGTAGACTCGGCTGAACAATTTTACATCTATTCATTTACCTCTATGTATATAGACTGTGAGAAGCTTCTTCTCGGAGCCCTTCCAGCTCTCGGGAATGTTAATTCATAATATCTGCTGTCTGTGCTCTTTCTGCGAGACTATATTCAGTGCTTCCTTTAAACTCAAATGCATTTAAGTTTATTTTTAAAATAAGTTTTGTGCTCCCATCATTCTGAAAGGTCTGGAGTGGATATGAAGAAATCAGTTTGGGCCATTACAGCTTACTTTCACACACAGAGACTGTGTCCTTATTACATGATTATCTCAGGGTGAGATAAGCCAAAACCATGAATAAGACACGAACATAACACGATCAACCTTCATTAGATGATTAAAAGATGTCCTGAATGTATTCAGATGACTATTTTTCAAATGCATGTGATTAATAAAACAAATTCCTGTGACAGTTAGGAGCTTTGGTCATGATATAGTTTCTCCTTCAGAAGATACTGAAATGACAGCCATTACCAGCTGAAGGTCTTCAGACTTATTTAAAAATGGGTCCTCATTTGCAATACTTGAAAAAAATGGGAACTACTGCTCAAAGTACTGACTTCTATCAACAACCTTTGGAGTAGCAGTAACAGTCTTGGGACTGAGCAAAGCTAATTTCTTTAGTGATAACCTGATATACCTGAATACAAACAGGGAACACTAAAAAAATAGCAAGAAACAGAGAATACTGCCTCAGCCCTTGCCATAGGCCAGGCCCTGTCCTAATCACCGAACATATGTTTACTTATTTTAATCCTCACACTGATCCATTAAGGAAGGTACTTTTATCATCTGTATTTTCCAGGTAAGAAAACTGAGGCACAGAGAGGTTAGGTAACTTGCCAAGGTCACACAGATAGAAAAGAGTAGATGTGCGATTCAGACTTGTGTCCTAGCTCCACAGCCAATACTTTTAACTCTGTAATTCTGCCTCTCAACGCACACACACACACACACACACACACACAGAGTATGCTAAGCATTTTAGTAACTGGTAATACTATACTTCATCTCACATACTTTAGACATGTTATCAGGAGGAACCAGTCCCTGGAGAAAGACATAATGCTTGATAAAGTAGAGGGTCAGCGAAAAAGAGGAAAACCCTCAGTGAGATGGATTGACACAGTGGCTGCAACAATGGGCTCAAACATAGCAACAATTGGGCAGTGTTTCATTCTGCTGTACACGGGGTTGCTGTGAGTCGGAGCTGACTCAACGGCACCTAACAACAATGACAAATACTGTAAGTTTCTGTGGGACCCTTTCGTTGCTGTCATTTATTTCACTGGTCTATTTTTCCTTCTACTATCCCGCTAAAATGAAGCCATCTAAGGAGTCCCTGGGTGGCTCAAATGGTTAAGCGCTTGATTTCTAGTGGAAAGGCTGGTGGTTGGAATCTTTCCAGAGGTGCCCTGGAAGACAGGCCTGGCAATCTGCTTCTGAAATGTCACAGCCTTGAAAGCCCTATGGAGCACAGTTCTACTCTGACACAATGGGGTCACCACGAGTCAGAATTGACTCAATGGCAACTAACAACAGCCTAAAAAACAGTCTATTTTATTTTGTTCTTAGCAAAAGTAACAGGCAGTTATTGTGGCAGGATACAATTTACTACACCCACTCCTCACTTATCAACAGGGTTAAGTTCCAAAGACCAGGTTGTTAGGCGAAAATTGGCATTATATGAAAATGGATGACCACATCAGATCACAAAAAGGAGGATGACTACATCATTACATAACTGCCAAATTACATCATTACATGACTGCCAAACCACTGAGAATCATGGCTCAGCCAAGTTAATATATGACCTTAACCATCACAGCCAGTGTTACTCTTGCCTTGCACCTCGGCGTTCGTTACTGCCAGACATATGTCGTTAATGTGCAAAATAGTCTGATAGTAGATTTTTTTTCTATTGTTGTAAATGTGAAATGACAGCTAACAAGATAGTCGATAAGTGAGGAGTAGGTGTCTGTAGAAATAATATAGGAAAATTTCGACCTATAGCTCTGCTAATGGCAGAATTGCAATGCTGCACACCAATATAAATATTTGCTGATAGGTCAAAATTGGGTGGAAAACTAATGACTTATAGGAAATTGGAACATTATGTTCACCATAAATAAAATGACAAAATTCACCATCATAAGTAATATACTTTTGGGGAATTACCATATTTCAAGTTCCAGCTTCTAAGAAGAAATTTGACGCTTTCAAAATAATACGCATCTGTTATTTTCTTGTTAAAGTAAGCAAGTTGATTGCAGAGTGAGACTCTGGAGGACTTTATATCAGCTTTCATTATGAATAATTAAATAAGAAAACATGAAAATGACAATGTTAACTTGCCAAATAGATTGCCTGTGTGAGAACACTGTTCGGTTTTATCAGCACAGCAATGGTAAATTAATAATAATGTAAGTAATTAATGGTTAAATATATGTTTGAATTTAAACAATCACAATATTTATAAGGGTCATGTCTTTTCTCCTGTATAATCGCTTAGTAAATTTCATTATCCTTAATTTATCTCTAAAAGAGGTATGCTGAATTGTATGATGCCGGTTCATTATCACTGCCTGTCTTCCGTTGCTAGCTAACATGGCCATTAACCAGATGCTGGGATTGGGAAAACGCTAGAGAACGGCCCTTTGAATTCATATGGGACTCATGTCTTTCTAGTGTATTATGAAGACATATAAGGGGCAGGGAAACTAACAACGTTTGCAGCTGAGGGGTACTTCCTATCCCCCACCCCGACAAGCAGCTTTCCTCCCTTGCCTACTAATGTATTTGTCCATCAGAGTAATCTTATTACTCTTCCTTGTAATTTCAGCATTGCTTGCTGATAGACAGACAGAAAGGAGGAGTAAGGGAGAGAGAGGGAGCAAAGGAAGGAAGGGAGGGAGGGAGAAAGTAGAAGGAAGGAAGGAAAGAAAGAAAGAAGAACAAGAACCATTTAGAAAACAGGCAACACAAGGGTCAAAATAAAGACAGTATTTGAATTTACCATCCCATATCCCGTGTCCCAACTCTCCCCCTAGACTGTCACACAGCTCTCTGTCCCCACCGTTATTTGCTTTGTCACCAAACTTAAGTCCATCATTACAGCGAGAAAAAACTTTGAGGCTAGATTTTCTGTATGTGCATTTGCTATTATTTCTATTAATACCACCTCCATTTGGCATGAGAAAAGAGTGAAATGTTATAGTAAAAGGCACCTGTGGATGGTCAGTGATGTAACCACTGAAGACATACAAGGCTTGTGAATGCTGGATGAAGGATCGGCTCCTTCTGTCCACAGGCGGGGACAACAGCTTGTGAGGGTGCGCTATCCTGCTATTTCATCAGATGAACTCAGCTCTCTCACCTGCATAGGACATTGACTAACTTATTCTTAAGAGATAAACTGAACATATTGGTTTTAAGTTGAAGTTGGGTTGCTTCTATCTTGGATACCTAATCAAAGACAAAGAAGATTGTAACGTTTCTGGATTGTTGTACATGAGGACATTTCTATTTTGTTTGGTATTGAGAAAGCTTATAAATAGTTATAATATAAAGCATATCAGGCATATGGAAAGGTAAGATATTTAATATTGAACACACTGGAGTAGAAATTCACAACTGCTTTCTCATTATTTCTTAAAAATTGGGGCAGATGTTGGGGGCCGGCGGAGAAGAAGGAAATGGAGAGGAGGAGGAAGTGAGACGGGATAGAGTCTGGGGCCCGAGGAAAAAGACTGAGGCCAGGCAGGCCTGGATTTGCCCCCCATTTATGACAGTGATCTTTATAAATTCATCTATGCTCTCTGAGATTCAGTTTCTTCATAACATGGGAAAGAAGCACCATTTATGAAGCCAGACTGAAGGAGTACCTGCTATATAAATGCCCAGCAAACAATACCTGGTATTATTTGCTAAACATAGGCTAATACAAAGGGGGAGATTTTGGTATAAATCTTAGGAAACAATCAATCCTCTTTCCCTAAAACTAAGGAAACTCAAACCATAAATAACAGCATCTGTTGGCTAAAATGTTTTTCAGTGCTGTCAGATTAATTAAACCCTGTAAAGGAACTGAATGATTTATAAATGTATTTAAGCCAATGACGAGCAACTGCTGCTGCATTTTTCTCTCCTAAGTAAGAAATAAGAAATAAAGCTATGTGAATCTATGAAGAGAATTATAGTATATGCATGCTATTCAATGAAAAAAAAAAAAACTTTGACGTTTTTGTTTTGAATTCTGCTTACTTCATTCCCAAGCAACCCCACCTCATTTGCTTCCTCGTAATTCCGTAGAATTTCTATAACTAATGTGGTAACATGTGCGAATCAAAGAGTACTATATCATATTCCAACTTCTGTTTTGAACTGAGTCTTCACCCCTCCTCTCTATTTTTCCCCTTTAAAATCTGAAATTTAATAATTGGAAATTCGTATAGGGTCTCTATGAGTTGGAATCAACTCTCCAGCAACAGGTTTTA